AGGGTCTCCCTATTCAGTTCATGCTGGCCTTGAGCTCACTTTGTAGCCCAGGCTGGCCTTGAACTTGCAACGATCCTCCTGCCTCAGCCTCCCAAGTGCTGGGATTACAGGCGTGCGCCACCACGCCCGGCAAAGAATCCAACACACTTTCTATGTAAGATGAAAAAATTGAAGGCTGGGCCTGAAGGTGACGTCAGATTGTCTGGGCAGCCGCGGCCCTTTTCTCCCCGGCACTCACCGTAGTCCTGCTGGCAGTACCTCCGAAGGCTCATGCGGACCCTGCTGTCCGAGGTGTTGCAGTAGTTTTGACACTGAGGGTCTGGGGAGGGTCAGGCTGTCTGCAGCGCGCTCCTGAGACCTGGGCCAGGGTGTTCTGCCCACCCATCCCCCCACTGCAGTGTGATGGACAGCTGGGATGTCCACACCACCAGGACACAACTTCAGAGTCCCGGCAGCCCATCCCGGACCCTACTTGGTGCCTGGGCATCTCACTGCCTGACTGTCTTACCAGAGCTTGAAGTAGCAGGGGTAGTGGCAAGAGGGGTAGCGGTCTCTGGAATTCCTGAGCCCAAAGGAGAAATCTGATTTAACCTCTTAGTCACCCTCCCCCAGGAACCCAGGCAGCCAGCCTCCCAAGAGTGTAAGGGTCATTTGCCCTTCTCTCCCAGGACCCAGGAGTCTGCACCCCTCCTTATTCTTCCTCCAGCCCCCTTCTCCCCAAGACTGAGGAGTCTGGAATTTCAGTGCTTGGCGTCTCTGAGGACTCAGAGTCCTGCCTCCACCCCTAGCTCCCATCTCTGGGCCCCACCTCACTTGTCTACTGAGATCGGGGCATCTCCTGCCCGCTGTCTCAGGACTTGGGTCCTGCCCCTTGGAACTCACGCTGGCAGGGCATCCTGGGGGAGCGGCTCTGCTGGTAGCCCAGCCCACAGCGGTTGCACGTCAGGCCTGTGACCCCTAACTTGCAGGCGCACTGTCCACTGGTCTGGTTGCAGGTACCTCCTGTGGCCCCAATCGGGTGGCACTGGCAGGCTATGCAGGGAGAGGAGTGGGGGTGTGGAGCATCAGGGACCCACATGCTTCCCGCTATACTCGCATTCTCTCCTCCCCACTCCTCCCCACGATACTGGAGTGCAGGCCCAGCCTCCTCCCTCACACCCAGGCTTCCCTTCCCTGCATCCTTTTCCCCTCACCTGGCTTCACGCTGCACTCACCCCTGCAGGCCTTGCGGCTGGTGATGGGCTGGCTGGGGTCCCTCCAGAACCCAGGCTGGCAGTAGTGGCAGTGGCGTCCTGCTGTGTGGTGGCGGCACCGCTCACACACACCCCCACTCCGGCCACCCGACAGCCTGAACAGCTCAGCACTGAAGCGGCAGCGGCGGGCGTGCTGGTTGCAGGAGCAGGCTGGGAGTGAGAGGAGCTGCCTGTGGGAGCCAGGCTTTCGGCCCCCTGGTCCCCAGCTTCCTCCCTACTCAGTGCCCCCAGGAAAGGAAATGAGATGAGGGCACAGTGTAAAAGCCTGGGGCTCCCCGGGTGAACGTGGGCCCCAGAACGCCTTCATTCTCATCTAGAAGTGGCTGCACTTGACGGAGCTGTGAGCTCCGGGCACAGTGACTTTCCCAGCGGCTCTGTGAAGCCCGGTGCTGAAGGAGCCGGGGAGGGAGGGACAAGGGACAAGGCCGGTGGGCAGACCGCCTGCCTGATCTCCATTCCCAGGGCTGGGTCTGCTGCTCTCCTTAGCTGGCTTCCATTGCTGCAGAAGGGCATTTAGCGTTTACCTCACAAGGCTTGCCAAGAGAAGCTGCTCCCCCTGGGCCTGGCGCAGAGTGGGTATTGGGCTCTGAGTGCTTCCAGATGCCAGCCACTGTGCGCTGAGCGCCTCATCTATTTCTTTTCTTTTTCTATCCTTTTTTTCAGGGAGGCAGCTGAACACCAGGCCTTTGTGCCGAGTTACATCCCAGCCCTTTTCATTTTCTATTTTGAGACAGGGTCTCACTGAGTCACTAAGTTGCCCAGGGTGGGTTTAAACCTGTGATCCTCCTGCCTCGGCCTCCCAAATTCTGGGATGACAGGTGTGCGCCACCATGCCTGGCTGCTTGATGTGTTTCATTCTCACGGTGGCTCTGTGAGACTGCCACCAGCCTCTCCCTACTTCACAGATGGGGAAACTTGCAGGGGTTTCTTTTCTCTAACAGCTTTTAACATTCCATTCTTGTGTTGAATTTCTGGACTCTTGACTGTTATATGCCTTGGTGTAGATTTCTTTTGATCTGGGCTAGTTGGAGTTCTACAGCCTCACTTAGTCAGAGTGGGAAACTTAGGCACAGAGAGGTGCAGTCACCCGTCCAAGGCAGAGTAGCCTGGAGGTGGTCAGAGGCGGGATTTGAACCCTGGCACTCTGGAGGATGTTGCCCTTTCCAGGGAGCATTTATCAGGTTGTCCAAGGCAGGGGCTCACAAGCCTCACTCCTTATCACAGTCACCAGGGCAGCGTTTTAAAAACTACATCAGTTCCTAGTCCATACTGGTGCTCACTGGGCCCAGGGATCCATATGGCTAGCAAGATGCTGGTGTTGGGGCCCCTGGGCCGCTCTTGGGGAGACCTGGGTTGAAGGGGCTTTTCACTCAGAAAGGGTTGAGACCCCACACTAGCAGGTCCCTGGGGGCCTGGCAGAGTTGTGGGGCCGTCAGGGAGAAAGGCTGTCCTCTGGGCCTCAGTCTGCCCTGTGCAGTGGGGTTACCAGCCCAGACCCTGTGCTTGGTGGCATTAGAGGTGGCAGTGCTGTGCAGGTTTGGTAAGGGGTGGGGACAGAGTCAGGCTGTGGATCCTTCCTGACCCGAGGGGAAATATAAGTCTCAACTGGGGAAGTGCAGGAATATTGGGGACCTGGCCCATCGTGGTCCCCAACGTGGGAGCCTAGCTTGCCTCATCTGAAAGACCCCTCCCCACAGCCCTGGGGGTCTTTCTCATCCAGGTGTGGAGCCTGGTGCCCTGCTCAGCCTCAGTGCTTGTTGCAGTCCTCAGGAGGACAACCTCCCTCACGCCTAGGCCCCGTTCAGGTCCAGGATGCGGCCCGCACCAACCCTGGGACAGAGGCGTCCTCCCTCCATCCCCTGCAGGCCATGGCCGAGGCCCACTGAGTGGAGGCCCTGGGTCTCGGGGGCAGGGAGCAGATGCAGGAAGGAGGGAAATCTGGGGGGATGAGAACAGAGGGGAGCTGAGGACCCAGGATGGCCTGTAAGTCAGTTCATGTGACACTGTGTGCAAGAAACGAGGGGGCAGCAGCACACGGGTGTGCGCGGGCGGGGGGAGCAGGTGGGAGTCAATGGTGCACACCTCTGAGGAGGGCCCAAGCCTGGAGGCTCTGGAGCCCCAGGAGGAGGTGCGGCGTGCTTAGGGGCCGGGGCGCTTGTCAGATGATCTCAGTGCTGCCCTTGCTGGCTGTGAGGCCTCACCTTCCACCCCGATGGCAACATGGCAGGTGCCCCAGGAGTGTTCTCCTGCGGGTCAGGACTGGGCCTTGCCCCAGGGCTTGGTGAACACTAACTACCACTTCCCCACTACAGCCCCGAGGGAGCACTTACTGTCCCCACTGGATGAACCCCTGGAGGTGGTCACTTGCCTTGGGTCACACAGCTGGTGAGCAGAGGAACTGGGACATGAGCGCTGGCTGCCCGCCTGGGCCACGCTCCTGTTTATCCTCCTAGAGCACCCAGGGTGACAGCACCCGAAAGGAGCTTGGCAGGGATAAGCTGAGGCCCAGGAGGGCCCAGCTGCCAGGGGCCTGGCCCCACACACATGGCAGCTGTGTGTCTTGTGCAGGGGACTTGTGACCTCTGGCCTCAGTCTCCTCATCCGGGAAAGGGGTTGCTGACAGTACTGCCTGGCATGTGGTAGGTGCTAGGGAAGCACATGCTTTGTACTTTCTCTCTGAGTTGCTTAGAGAAGCTGCAGGGCGACCAGCTGCTTTGTCCCTACCACACTCCTGCACCCTCACAGTCATCACTGTCCCATGAGTGCCGGGTGAGTCTGGAGCCCCACCCCCATAGCAGGCAGGGGTGCCTGAGTGTCTGGGTTGGGATGCAGAGCAGGCAGAGCAGGACGGGCCGGGGCCCAGGGCCCGGGACAGTGCAGGGAGCAGCAGGGAGCAAGCCCTTGTGGGGAGGGAGAATGCACCCTGCACCTTTAGGGGTCAGGGCCCAGCTGCCAGGGAGGCTGGGGCTCAGGCAGGGCCTCGGACTCACGCAGACAAGGATGGGGATGCTGGGGTGTGGCAGGTCGCCAAGGCCAGTCGCGATGAGATGGGCGGCAGCTCTCGCACCCTGGGCCAGTGGTGTGGTGGCGGCAGCGGCAGCGGGGAGGCCGGGCACGGGTGGCACAGCGGGCAGCGTGACCGTGGCACTGGCAGCGGCCTCTCACTCCAGCTGCTGCCAGCCCTACCCGGCCCCCAAACTCCACACGGAGGTGGCGTGCCACCACCCTGGCCTTAGGGCCTGCTGGGGAGCGGAAGGTCACCCTCTCGGGGCCCCCCAAGGCTCCGGGCCAGGCGGCTCTGCGCCACAGAGGCCTCCAAGGACCCCCAGCGGCCCAGGCAGCAGACAGAACAAGGGCTGGGGGCCCTGGGGTGCAGAAGCGCAGGCTGACGGACGTCAGGAGGAAGGGGCCATCCAGGTCCAGGGTCAGGCTGCCATTGCAAGTAGCCCCGGGGCCAGAGCCCATCCCTGGGGAGAGGCCACAGGCCTGAGGGCAGGAGGCGGCTCCACCACTGGCCAGCCGGGTCACTGGCGGGAGGCAGAAGCGGGGACGGCCGCCAGGATCGTAGCACGGATCTGAGGTGGCCTGGCCCAGGAGGAGCAAGAGGGCAAAGGTCACAGGCATGGTCCCGACAGAGCCAGCACCTGCAGAGGAGAGGTGGCCAGTGGGACCTCGCCGTCAGCCTCTACCCTGCTCCCGAGACCCCCTGCAGAACCCAGCATTCCACCCAGCCCTGCCCAGGCCCCACCCCGCCTGCTTAGAAGCGAGGAAAATAGTTCCATCTGGGGAGAATTACTGTTTACACAACCCAAAGGGGAAAGAACGCAAGCAAAATTGAGAATTTTGCCTGAACTAATCCGTAGCTTAACACCCCAGAGTTATCCGTCAGTGTTGAGGGGCTGGGCCCCCGGGGAGGGCGCACGGGGAAGGGGCGGGTGAGAGGGACAAGAGGGACGGCAGAGGCCTCCAGATGCTGAAACCTAGATGAGGAGACCGGAGCGGAGCCGTGCAGGCCAGGGGACTGCAGATGCCGAGGACTCAGTGACAGAGACAGAGCCGGGGACAGAGGCAGAGACAGCAGACAGAGAGGAGGAGCGAGGCGCACAGGCCGCGGGGACGCGCCTGGCACAGAGAAGGTCGGGCGACACAGACAGACCCGGAAGGCCAGGAGGTGAGAGAGACGGGCTGAGCACGCCGAGCGCACAGGCACATCGAGGATCCTGGGGATGAGGGTTCAGGCAGGTGGCCCAGAGCCTAAGGGACAGGACAGCCTGCAGGCTCTGGCTCGGGGAGGGCCCGGCTGGTGGTGCCCGGCGGAGGATCAGAAGCAGGAGGCTGAGGCCTGGCCCGGGGAGCAGCACAGAGGCCTTTCCCACGTGGAGCCCTAACCTTGTTCTCCACAGCCCTGGCACGGAGGGGATTATCACCAAACATCCCTGGCCTCTCAGCCTCCCTGCCACCCAGCCCAGCCGCGCACATCCTTAACTCTTTCCCCCCCGGGAGCTGAGAACATGGCCGGCAGATGCCTGGGTCTCCTTTAGAGCCGGGGGTGTCGGGACTTTCTGATCATCCAGCTCCTCCTGCCACTCTTGGCCTCAGGGCTTGGGGATCAGAGTGGATTCTCCACTCATCCTCAGGGCTCCGAGCAGATGGGGGAGCAGATGCTGAGGGCGGTGGGTAAGGAGGGAGGAGAGAGGCAGGACGGTGGGGCTGGGCGGGCACCAGATGCCAGGGGCCCGAGGGGCCAGAAGTCCTCACTGCCACAGGTGGCTGCAAAGACAGCCCTCCGCTGCCCCCCACTGTCCCCTTGGAGGCCAGCAGCCCCCTGAGGAGCCCACTCGGGGCTGGGGATCGTAGGACCTTTCTGGGCCCCTGCCTGGATCCCTGGCCCCAGATCTGCACCGAGGCTGGCTCCCCGGGTGAAGTCCACGCAGCCCCTGTGCCCCACTGTTGTCGCCATGTGCGGACTGTGGCTCCCCTGCCCCAGGCGACACCCTGGCCCCAAGACTGGAGCCATTTTGTGCTTGCTCGGTGGCCAGTAGCCCTCAGCCGCAACCTACTTCAGGCCTGGCCCCCACGTAAGAAGGTCTCTTGCTGGATTGTTCAGGGGGTCCCACTTTCCTGCCCTTAGCACTGTGAGGACCCAGGCCCTAAGCCCCCAGTAGCCTGGGATATGCGAAACCGGCCCCTGGCACCACAGAGCCCAGCTGTCGGCTCTAGCCTCCACCCCACTTTTCAGGAGCTGGGCCGCTAGGCCCTCGCAGACCCACTGTTGGGCCCTGGCCTGGGCAGCCTGCGTCTGCGCAGCGCCCAGGCCCCCTCCGGCTGCTAACATGCGCTCCCACCCGAGCCCAGGGTCCCAGGCATCGCCAACCTGTGCCACAGAGTCCGCAGTCGGTCCCCACATGCTCCTCCCGCAGGCTGGTGGCGGTGGGCTCCCTCGTGGGCTCCCGGAGGAACGGAGGGAGTGAGATGAGTGGCTGCTCTTGGCCCAGGCTGGGGGTCTGGGCGGGAGCTGAGAGCAGAGCCCGCAGAATCCAACACCACCCCCTCCCACAGTCCCCTCACCAACCGCAGCCACGCTCTCCCCGCAGGGACCCCGCCAGCTACGCCACCCGAGACCTTGTGGGATGGGAGCGCTGCCGCCCCCGTTGGGCCCACAGCCGGACAGCTCCCAGCAGGCTGGTCCAGGGGGATCCAGACATGTAGGACAGATAGGTGCAGGATGGGGTCCTGGGCCTGGGGTCCCCGCTCTACCCTTACTTGGCCCAGCCCCACCAGCTCCCGAGGGCGCGGCCTGCCTGGCCACGTGGTGGCTCGATCTGGCCCTGACCTGTGGAGCCGCCCTGGCGTCCTCGCCGTGGGGAATCCGCCCGGCACTGCCTGGAGCTGACCCCCGGCTGGCCCCGCCCCACACGCCAGAGCTGAGGGTTAACTGAGCGTTAAGGTCAGTCGCTTTCAAGCCCTCAAAAGTCCATGCTCTCGGAAGGATCAGACCCGCCGCTGAAACCCAGAGGCCTTGGCGCGAAGGGAGTGGGAGGGGCAGCGGGGAGTGAGAGCCTTGGGGAGACAGTGAGGGTCCTGGAGGCCACTCCCGGTGGCCAGTGTCCAGATGCCTGGTGCTTTCCTCCTAAAATTCTCAGACAAATGCCTTCTTATCCAAATGGCTTTGACTAGAAAAATAAGGTTTTTGTCACTTCCCCTTGAGAAGATCCAGGGTGCCCGGAAGCCAGCACATTGCTGCCATTCAGCCTGGGTGCCCGGGACGTTGGTGTAGCATGGTGTGGTCCTGGACCCATGGGGATGTGGGGGCCACTGCCCTGGGCCAGCCAGCAGCCATGACTCTGGCTCCAAGTGACCCTCAGAGCCGGAAGGAGCAAGGACAGGGACATCGGGTTGACTCTGAAAGCTGTGAGGAGGAGCTGGCTGTGAGAGGAGGGGGTGGGGCCGAGAGACCCCATGTAGGGGGGACACGTGGCTCAGGTGAGGGGAGCTCAGTGGCAGGATGACTATCGCAGAGCCCATGGTGCCATGAGGTCAGCCAGTCCTGACCAGGCTCTTCCCACCTGCCGGACCGCTGTCTTGCAGAGACCTGTGAACAGGCCCCCAGGCCCAGGCCTTGCCAGGCCCCCTTCCAGAGAGGGGAGTCGCTGAACAGCAGTAAGGCATTCTGGCCAGAGGCTGTCAAGAACGGCAGCCGCCTTGGAGCGGGCTGTGATCTGTGACACAACATCAAGGGGACACTTGGTAATGCCTGAAGGAGGCCAGGGCAGCTGCTGAGGCCAAGGGGATGCTGGTGCAGAGGCTGGTTTTGCTGCTAGAGAATCGTGGAAAGTTTGGGCCTTGCTACGTTTTCTCTTCCTCCCCATCCATCCATCTGTGGGACAAGAGGTCCCTAAGCTCCTGTCCCCTGGAGCAAAGTTTGCTTTCTTCCTCACTTTTTTTTTTTTTTTAAGACAAGGTCTTGCTCTGCAGTTGATATTTCTGTTTTGTTTTTGTTTGTTTGTTTTCCGGTACTGGGAATCAAACTCACAGCCTCGCGCTTGCCAGGCAGGTACTGTGCCGCTGAGCTAAATCCCCAGCCCCTCGCTCTGCAGCTGAGACTGGCCTTGCACTCACTTTGTAGCCCAGGCTGGCCTCAAACTCGTGGTGATCCTCCTGCCTCAGCCTCCCAGTGCTGGGATTACAGGCATGCACCACCAAGCTGGGCCCACTTTCTTCTTGATTGCCTGAGTGGCCCAGCAATTAGCAACCCTGTAGGCACCCCTGGAGGTAGGTGGGGAGCAGCCTAGGATGTGCCCCTTACATGGAGTAGACTTCTTGGGTGTGCTGGGGGACTAGGGCTCCCCAAGTCCTTAGACCCTCACCCTCAGGCTCCAGAGGAAGTGTCAGGACCTGCTAGGATTCCTTGCTCTCAGGAGTAACAGAAGCTTCAAGACAGCACAGGAAGTGTCTCTGAGCCGTGCCTGGGGAATGGGGGTCTACTCTTGGACATGCTCAGGTCTGGGACTGGAACCATGGCTGTGTGATCTAAGCAAGTTGCTTAACCTCTCTGTGCCTTGTTTGCTTCACCTCTTAAAAGGGGATTAAAATGTCACCTATCTCCTGGGGACACTGCCTTCTTACCTGCACACTCTGGCCAGATGTGTCCCCTAACCTCCTGCATAGACCACTGCACATCACCCAGGGGAGGAACTGGGCTGTATCCGCATCAGACTTGTTACTGTTCATGCAGCAAAACCGAAGGCTCACACTCAGAGAAGTGAAGTCTGCAGGAAGCCCCAGGCTTCATTAGTGAGTTTGTTGGCCAGTTGTTCCCACCCAGAGGAAAGCAATCACGAGCAGCGCTGTGAGCACCTGCAGCACCCCAGCCCACCTCCCTGGTTCAGTCCGCTCCATTTTCTGGCTGCTGAGGCTGATGCCGCAAGGGGGAGCCCTTGGGACTGCAGGAAAAGCGGGGCGGCACCTCTAAGGGCCTGGCTAAAGGAAAACTCCAATCCCTCTTGCAGCACTGAAGAATTTTACTCAGCGTGGTGGCCCATGCCTGTAATCCCAGCTGTCTGGGAGGCTGAGGCAGGAGGATTGATACGTCAAACCCAGTTTGGGCAACCTTAGGGATTTAGTGAGACCTCATCTCAAAAAGGCAAGCAGGGGACTGAGATGTAGCTCAGTGTGAAGGCCCTAAGTTTGATCCCTAGTACTGAGAAATGTCTTGACTGGTTGGGGCTCTTGGTGGACCCAGGGAAAAACAGTAGCAGGATGAGGGAAATATAGACAAAATAAGAATTGATGTCAGGTGGGGGTCCTCTTGCTACTGTTGGGAGAAGAACTGCCCAACAACTGTACAGCCTTCATTTATACTCTGGAGAGATTGATGTCAGTCTCAACCTCTCTACCTAGCAACCAGCTAACAAGCTGCAACAGCAGCTTGGAAGAGCTCCTCATGGCTGGAAGAGCTCCTCATGTTCTCCAGCGAGCTTTGTCCTGCATGTGTGATTGATTTCCAAATTCAGCTGCTCCCAACAGCTCTCTCTCTTCTGTTTTGTAAGTGATGGTTGTTTAGTCGAAGTTGGAGAAGCTGTGTTTGGAGAACTCTGTAGAAAACCTTTTTATTTATTTATTTACTTATTTTTTTTGTTGTTTTGAGACAGGGTCTTGCTATGCAGTTCAGGCTGGTCTTGAGCTCGCTTTGTAACCCAGGCTGGCCTGGAACTTGCAACAGTCCTCCTGCCTCAACCTCCCAAGTGCTAGGACTACAGGTATGCATCACCATGCCTGGCAACCTTTTCATTCTTGATGAACTTACTCATTTAGGCTAAAGATTCTCAGTCCAAAGACTCTAGAGGGCTGGGGATTTAGCTCAGCGGCAAAGCACCTGCCTGGCAAGCGCAAGGTCGTGAGTTCGGTTCCCGGTACCGGAGAAAAAA